TTCAGAGCTCTGAAGGTTGTTTATATTGGATTTTGAGGCTCTTCTTTAGGCTAATAATAGATAATGGAACTTCAAATTTTTGGTTTAAGCTTTGTGCTATTTTGATCTTTAGAAACAGTATCTCATTATCTCAATGGAGCCTAGGCAGTTAGCACAATACAAAGAGAACATTTTGCTCACCAAATTGGCGGTGAGCATTATCACCATAATAATGTGACCGTTGGATGAGTTGAATTTTTTAAATTCATGTAACAGGTAGATTAAATCACATTCATACAACGACAATTAGTGTGGTAAAATGCTCACCAACATTTAGCAAAAATGTTCTCCAATACAAAGCTCAAGTAAAAGTTTCTATTTTTTATTTTTTGTTTGCCCAATGTTGCAAGGAACCACTCTAGTGGCTCAAGCTTTCATTATTGAAATGGAGTTTGCATTGTTTGACCCACTGACAGTGGTGAAACTGGAGAAGAGAACCATGAGCTCAAAGGACATTGAGATGGTATTATCTCAATAATACCCTTGCTGTTTCCGTAATACAGTAGGGTAAAAACGACATTATCTATTTATCCTAATTCATGAATTGGTCCCAAAGTCTGTTGTCTTACTCGAAAATATTTGGCAAATTGCTACTTGGTCCTTTTGCAGTTGAGGACATTCTACCTTATCCTATTCCTTTTCTAATCTCCTGTTATACAGACGCACCAAAAACAAAAAAGGAAAAGAAAAAAAGGGGTTAAGATGGTTTGCTCAATCCCAATTCTCAAACCCTAGAAGCTGTAAACTTGAAGAGGCTGAGAAGACAGTGGCAGTGAAAGAGTGACTGAGAGGCTATCGTTCTCTGTAATTTTCACTATTCAAAGTAGAGAGAAGAAGAGAAGGCTTTGGATTTACACTTCACATAGTTGTTCCAAAAGCGTTGTTTTTTTTGTTGAAAGAGAAAAAACGTCGTTTGAAATCACTGTGCATTTATCACTGAAAACACTATGGTAAGTGTTGCCAATCAATCCAATCTCAGAAACCGAACGAAAATTTATTGATTTCAGTTTAACTCATTGTACAAGTTCACAGTTCACTGTGCTTGTGTTTGATTTGGACCTCTCAATTTTGTTCGGTTTTCGATAATCAGACGGGTCGGGGCGGAGGAGGAAGGGACCGGTTTCGGATGGAGCATCAGGAAAATCGCGGGGTCAGCGGCGGTCCCCGGCGTTTCGACTCAAAGAATGGCAAAGCTCCGCCGTCCAGACACCTCTGGGTTGGGAACCTCTCTCATAGTATCATGGAGAACGACCTCACTGAGCACTTTCTTCAGTTCGGGGAGCTCGAAAGCGTGGCCTTCCAGCCCGGCCGGAGTTACGCCTTTCTTAATTTCAAGAGGGAAGACGAAGCAATTGCCGCCATGGAGTCCCTCCAGGGTTTTCCTGTTGCGGGCAACCCGCTGAGGATCGAGTTTACCAAGGCGGTTAGTTACTTTTTTTCAAGATGCTTTTTTTCTATCTCTGTTGTAAATATGCACTATGTAATGTATGTGTGTGTATTATAACTTGGTTATCTGAATTGAAGGCCATGGTAGCTGACTATTTCCATAATCTTTGAGCTTGAGCAAGAATGTGTTGGATAGTTCACCAACTTATAATGTCAAATTAGCTAATTAAAATGCTTCATGACAGATGCATAACGATTGATAACAGTGCCACGTTCCACGAAATTCATTAATCCATAAGATATTACAAACCAGCATAATCACAAGGCTCGCATGAAAGATTAATGTCCATGGTAACAAAAAAAAGTTAGTCCGATATTTTTAGTAGGGAACACTTTTAAGACTGAATAGAGGGACATGTGCTTTCCTCTCATTCCACGGTTTTCAGCATGATCATTCTACTAGCATTTCCGCATACTTTCAGTAGTTTCAAGATTAGCTTTGAAGGTGAAACACGTGCAAGGGGAGGCAATCCAATCTCTCTTTTCTTGTTTCCTTTGCTTTCCAAATGTTTAATGAAAAACCTGTTGACTTAACGTAATAAGTGAATGAGAGTGTTCTGGGTTGCATGCCTATCTAAGAAGTGGTCAACCACAGGAAAATGTATTTCCCTTCTATCATTGCATAAGAATAGTAGTAAACCATACACAAGTTGGACAAGCTGAGGTTTAACTGCAAAATCTATAGAATGGCGGGAATGTTTATTTCATGGCTAGCATGATAGCATTCCATTACCATTCCGAAGTTCCCATAAGTAATTTACTAAAGAAGAGCAAAGCACACCATTTTTTCACTTGTCTCTATTCTTACTGTCATTCTTATTGTCTAATTGGAGTCACAATGCACTCTTTATCAACTGTGTTGGGGTTCAGAATCATCTGTCAGGTAGTGGGATCTTGATTTGATGGTTTTCTCACTGCAAATCATAATTAGGCAGGGTTTGAGTATTAAACTACTAAGTTTCAATGTAAATCCATTGGCTTATGTGAACTTCACAGGTTTCATAGATTTCTCTCTTCCTAGTCCCAGTTTATCCAGTCTGTATTCTTTCTCACACTGAATTCATAGTTGGGGTGGCATTTAGTAGCGAGAGTTTCAATTGTAATAGGGAAATATTTTGCTAGTGTTTTCTTCCGAACTAAAATTTTTATGTATTACAGGTTGGAGAAACTCTAATGAACTTGTTATTTTCCCCATCATTGAGAAATTTGTCTAGATTGTGGGTGCTAGCACTAGATCCCATGTAGTGAACAGTTTCAGGAATTAATCTGTTTTGAGTTCCATAGTGTAGACTGTGCTTATTGGAAGTTTGGGATTGTTTTTTATGACTGAAATTAATTGGACAGTCATGTCAATAAATTTTTCATTGATAGAGCATGGAACACCATACATTATTTGATATATGGAGACAGTTGGACTTAAAATATGCATGTTTGACTTCACCGTTTGTTACTTGCTGTGTAGTCTGTTACTTGTCCTCTCTTGATCAAAAGCACTTAGGTTTTACCTTGCAACTTAAAGAGTTTCTTGAAATTATAATGGACTTTTTAAAACATTTGTGGCCATAACTAGTGGAGAATAGTTCTGAATAATTGAAAAAAGACGTTGAATATGCCTTCTTAAGGTGCTTTCTCCTAGCCCTCTCCCACCCACCCAACCTAAGAACAAAACAGAGAAGGAAAAGGTGAGTTGACAATTCATCAAAATCATTTAATTGGATCATCAATAATTCTATTAAGGAAACAAAATTTTGATTTGATGGGAATAACAGAATATGAAATTCTCACTTAAGAAAAGAAAAGGGTTCAGAAGCCTTTTATCAGATTAAAAGAAGCCCTCACTAGGTAAGAATCCAACATGATCTCCATATCTTGGACTATAATAAAAGGAGACAATTTTGGCATAACTATTGTTGACGTGGATATTTAACACTACCAAGGGACCTTTTAACTATTAGAAATTCAATTTTAAACATCTTTTATCACATCAAAATGATTCCATAAATAGCAAAAATTAGAACCCTATGAACAGCAAGCAACTCAGCATAATTAGTCGCCTCTTGTCGCAAGAGCGAGAAGGAAATATTTAGATATGCAACCTCGCCCAGTATCTCCAATAACAATGTAACTGAATTCATAAGATAAAGGCAAATTAAGTCCCCAATACATGCAGCAAGACAGGGGAGGGTTCAATGAAAACATGAAAGACCTGGGAGTGGATTCTTGTGCTCAATGCATTTGGTGAGTTTAAAAAAGGTCCAGAGAGGGTCCAATGCAACACCCACCCCCCCAAAAAAAATTCTGTTTATTTAAGATACAGTGGCCAGAACATCCTATTGGCATGCTGTAGCTCAGATCATATGAGGAAGAAATCTTCTTGGAATAAGCACAATGTCTTGCATGTGTTGGCTATTCAAATTCTGCAGCTGTTCAACCACCGAATGATTCATATGCATAATAATTTATGTTAGAAAGAAGAAAAAAAAACCATGAGATGGCACAAGGCTCGCAGTTACATATTATGTTTCACTTTCTTTTTAAGTGTGATCCGTATGTTATATCCAAATGCAGAAAAAAACCGTTACTGCAAATTGCATATGAACGACCAGAAATCTTAATGTAACTCAAACTTCCAACATTCAATCTGTTAAAATATGCAAATAGTCAGATCTTGTGGATGATGCATCCCAATCATTATTAATATTAGAATGTTTGCAATCTACATTGTTTGCACTCTTTTTTCCTTTCTCAATATTCAAAAAATAAATCTGTCATGAGAATCCAATCCACTATAATAATGCAACTGGATGCTTCATGCTTTAGAAACTGTATCCCTATTATCTTCTTCTTTTGTTTGCGTCATGATAATGGTTTGAATGGAAATTTCAGGCTAGCATTAGAGCAAGTATTCTTTCATGTTCAAAGAGTTTATCTAAGAGGTTTCATGTGAGTTGAAAATAAGGTGTGTTCCATTTAGCACAGCAGTACATCTGGAGCAGTTAGAAATCTCATTTCGAGTTGGAACAGCTGAGCACATTGCTTATCTCCTTCAGTTAAAAGAATGAGCTGAGGTGTTTTCCTGTGTTTACAATATTTGCCTTGGGAGGCCCATGTACTGTGGAGCTCTTTTTGGATTTTCTATTATTCTTCACTAAAAAAATCCAGGTCAACTCTGTTATTCCTGCATGTCTTAATGCTGAAATACTTTAATTCCTGTGTACCATATGAGAAAGATGGCGCACTTGATCATGGAATAAAATTTACAAATCAAAAGTTATGTTTGTGGCTTCATCCTTTGTGACATGTTAGACATTTGTAACACTGAAGATGTGGTTTCCTACTATATGCATGGTAGGAATAAGTATGTGCTCATTATGGGTCAAGTTGCAGTCGGCCAATTTGTGGA